GCAAGTCACGAGAGGTGAGTGTCTCTAGCATTATCCTTATTATTATACAGAATTATGAAAGAAAAGTTAGTGTGAATTCAACCATACCTACATAGCGGCGTCGCAATGCACATGTCTCTCACGTGTTTATGTTCAATATGATAACATATAGTTATTTATACCAAATTATTCGTATTCGGATAATCACCTGAATTTTATCAGTAAATATTATGTCTGTATATTGAACAGATCAGTTGCCATACAGTTGCATATACAGGATATCACATATTCAAAGGATGATCACTTTGTAAAGCTTCAATTCCTTTTTGTTGGTCCATACTATTAATCTCATGTGGCCATCAGCTTCAATAGTAATGTACTGTCGAGGACTGAACTGTGGAGGGTCACTCAACTTTGTATTGAAAGCATTCAGTGGAAAATTACTACGAAGGTTGGCGAACCCGATTAACTTATACCTACTTACATATAAAAAGTATGTAACTTAATTTCCTCCGAAATTGCATTACAACTTGCTGGTTTATTGACCTGTATGAATATTGTTCGTAGGCTGGAGAGTCGGCCCCACCAGAGCGGCTACACCTGCTCTCAGTACTTCGGTCCAAGAAGATCCTGCTTCGTGTGTTGCTGATAGCTGGCTGCTTCTTCTGCTGCACCTTTGTGTACAACGGCACCATCATAAACTCCACCAGTGTCTCCGGCAACAAATATCTCAACTTCTCCGCCCTGCTGCTCGTACAAGTTCCCACTAGAATCATCACGGCACTAACGCTTACAAGATTCGGCAGGAAGGCCCCCATCTGTGTGGCGTATACACTGTGCTGTATATTCTTCATTTCATCTGCGTTCATACCTAAGTGTAAGTATTTATTATATTTACTTATTCATTTCCTTAGTGCGAAAATGTTTGTTCTACCAACATGATTTCTAATTATGATTTCTCTTGCAGCGATCTGGTGGGCGTCAGTGCTGTTCTACCTGTTCGGTAAGATGTGCAGCAGTTACGGCGTGTTCTCGATGTACGTGGTGGCCATGGAGGTGTTCCCCACCACCTCGCGCAACTCCCTCACCAACATCGCCAACACCGTCGGCAGGGTGGGCTCCGTGCTCGCGCCGCAGACACCGCTACTCGTAAGTACACACACCATCATACCAGGGAACAACACTAGAAATATTCAACATCTGCTTATTACAACGAAACTGGATAAAACCGGTCGCCTTGTTATTGCGGTCCTTGATAACAATGTAGACGTCCTTCAGTCTATGATGATGTTATCATGACAGTTTCATCATTTTCTGATAAGTTGTAATTATTACTTACTTTTACGACTTTTGTTGTTTTTTTTTACTTTTATGACCCAGACTTTAAATATTAGTATAGGTAAATATATGTCAGATATAGAAATTAATGAATATTATGTGTCTTGCAGGAGAAGTACATGACAGGTCTACCGAGCGTGGTATTCGGTCTGGTGGCCCTGGGACCCGCCGTGCTGGCGCTGCTGCTGCCCGACACCAGCCAGTCAGCCCTGCCTGACGATGTTGTAGACGCTGAGAATCTGGACAATCCTCACGAAGAACATACTCCGGAGAGTGAGAGCCATGACAACGTCCCCAGACTGTCAGTCTGCGTCACCAGTGGGAAGGAAACGCAGTGATGTGACAGTAGGACCATTTATATTGCGAAGACCAAAGAGTCAATATCCACGTAGTGCAGTGATTTAGTGTTTAAGACATTAATTGTGAATCTCAACCGTGTAACTGGGGATATTATGCCAGTTGCTGGGGACAGTGACCTGAGACAGTCGTGCTACTAGTTGTATAGAGACGATGTGATGGCGGACTGTTGCCGCGTGTCTATGGTGCTCCTGTGTGATATTGCTTAGCTGTACTAATAGGTTGTAGGTTTTGTGATACTTGGTTAAAGGTCGAGATGATGAGCAGACGTCGAATAAGTCATTATGTACTCGCTAGCTACACTAAGTTTAACTCTCAGAGTTTGCGAGAGTCGAACTGTAATCTTGATAGACTTGATATTATATAAAGTGGGTCTTCCTAAATAAATGATTTCTCTTTTGCATTTTTCTATGTTTATTATAATAAAAGAGAATTTTGTACAAAATACAAGTAAGCATTTATTTACGAACTCCGTGTCGACGCGGCTCATTAGGATAACTTTACAAATCGTAACGTAATTATAGTGTACTGTAATATTTATACAATAGTTGTATTATTGATTATATTTGTCTGCTCCGGACTCCGCGGAGATAACATCTCTCGCATGTTGCGCGATGTTTACTTGAAACACATTTACCATACGTTTGCACAAATTGGAATTACTAGTTAGTATCGTGGCCAATTATTATGTTCAAACATTACAATGGATAAATAGTACACTATTTATCCATATTTTAGTTCATTAAAAATTCGTTTGTAATTTGGTAGGTACCTAAACAATATATTTAACTAAAGCTGGTAAATTATATCGATTTACAAATAACAGATAAATGACTGCGATTATTGCGTCTAGACTTGTAAAGCTCTTGTTGACGATAGTTACTGTATCGATGCGCATGCGTACAATGGTGTTGTAGGTATGTAATACATGCCATTATCTGATGATCCTTTACTGATGTCTGTCTCCTAATTACTTGGGGAATATTTACAAAGATTGATAATTAAATATTTTCAAACATGTCATTGCCAAATGATAAATGTATGTTATCTATTTAATATTGGCAATCTACATAAAATAATGTAAACCATTTTTATAAGGGCTTAAAAATCAATACGATGAATTTCTTTAATCCTAAGTTCTAAAGTGCTTTATACAATCATAGTATTAACTGACAAAGCAGTATCTTATAAATTTGTATAGATACTTACTGTAAATTTTTATTCAACAATTTTAAAATCTGTAGGTATATTTGTTTACTAACGTAACGTAAATGTGTTTCAAACATTAACAGAGTATCGTGTAGACGAGCATAATGTATTCCTATATTATTGTATTTATTTGAATCCTTGTTTCCGGCTGCCACATAGCAGGAATGTGCAGAAACCTCAAACCTAGAGTATATCACGTACATTTAATAGATTTTGATAACAATTTATTATGTTATTTTAGTAGTTAATTAATATATTTTTCTGCTGACTCACTGTCGAACTGTGGACGAGGAACTTAACTAGTTTCAAACCACACGAGGGCCTCATATGTATCGCAGCTGTTGTACAAACTAGTTGAGTTGCTCGTCAAACAGTTACTCGAGTCAGCCGAAAAACGATAGTTCGAAAGTTATAATCCAAAGATGTTTGTAGTTTGTGAATTTTCTGCATGTTTCTGTTTAATGTGGCTGCACGTGAATTTGTGTGCGTCAGGTCAAGTCGCGGGCTCGTGGCTTGATTATGTAAATGTTGTGAATCTCACATTGTGAAGTATTGTCTAGTTCTAGTTGTTTAGTTGTCTAGTAATTTTCTAAGTGTTCATAATAATTTATATACAAAATTAATGCTTGTTTCATTTCTCTCATTGACTTGTGTTTGTCATCAACCTATAGCATACTAACTATAGACTACTTTTACGTGAATCGTAACTCCACCTTATTGCTGGGCTCTAACTTTGTAATTACCTAACGCAAGCGTTGGTTTTCTGAGAAGAATCCGGTCGAACTAGCCCATTGGTGGCGAAGCCTGGCTCTCCCACACTTAGGACCACTTGCATTAAAATCGATACAGATGAAGCTTTTGAAAACTGAACTATTATATGTAGGTATAGTATTATGATTGGGGCAATGTAGAGTTTATCATATCAGTATTATACGCAAGATTTGACTGGATTTAATGGCTATAGGCTGTAAATTAGTCAAGATTGTACAAGTGAAGATATCTAATATTGACACGCTTCAATATTTATTTGTTTGGAATTACTGAATCATCATTTATTACTGACTCATGCCAGGATCTAAAGTACCTAATATATGCAAGATTCGTCAAGTACTGGTTAAGGACAAGTGTAATTTTTTAATTACATTTTTTCTCAAGAGATTTTTCTCTTTTAAGCTGTCAAACACCGCGAGGACACCGGTGACTGCAACCTATTGTTCTTTAATTGGTCTATAATGCCGGTACTCAAAGGGATAATTTAAAATTTATGGAAACACAATAGAATAATTTATTAGTCCTTTTGATTCGCAATCGTGGTATATATTGTGTGCAGAAACTGGTTTCTCAGCTAGACTTTCTTCATTTATTTAATAAAATTTAATGGCACTGTAACAAGGCTTGTTCAGTTTTACTACATGCATTTATTTTCACGAGTATCTACTTACATACATCATATCTATCTGAATTGCATGATTTAGTTTTATCATTCATAAAACAAAGACTCGTCACAGTAGGGAGATAAACCATAATAAAATAATTAAATAAGTACATTATATCACATAATATTTTATTATAACTTAACTACTATACATAAATGAGTACACAGTACATTACTAAGAGAGCAGTAAGTGTTGCAGATTATGTATTCTATTACAAAACAATAAGGTAACAGTTTGCACGACAATTTTGTACGAATTGTAATTGATATCAAAGAGTACGGTAGAAGTTGGTAGAATTTCATGCTATGCATTTTTGAATTACAATACCTTACCCAAAATGTTTCATTAATTAATGTAATAATGTTTCTTTATACAAATGTTTAATTATCGACTAAGAAAGGTACACATTTTTCATTTTAAATAAATAATGTTTTTTTATAATCTATGCCTCTATCGCTATGATTTTATGGCGTTGTATTATTATTATTATATTCCCTAGTTCTACATTGAAAATGTTGCCTTGTCTTCATTTGGATAAGAATTGGTTTTCAGTCTTTAAATTGTCATTATATTTCAAGTAAGACAATCATACCTTTTATCAATTAAATTACATCATGGTATGAAGCAATGTAGAACTGAAGTTATTCTTACATCTAGTGTTAAGGTACATTGAGTATGTTTTCAGGTGTTTATTTTAGATTCTGGCTTGCCGAGGGCCTCTGCTTCCGCGAGGGTGTCAGGCATCTTGGTGCCCAGCGTCTCCGGCTGCGTCAGCACCAGGATTCCAGACAGAATGCCCATGCCACCGAACATCACGGATGGTATACCTTCCCAGTAGTCCATCTGTTGAAGAGAATGTCTTGATTAGCTCTCAGAAGAGTGTCATAATGTCCATTCATGACAGATGTCTTGGGGATCGCAATCAGATCACTAAAAAATTGGAGGAAACTCGCTGCTAGCCCCTGGCAGCTGGCAGCAGTTTAGACTTCCTCAAATTCAAATAGCTGCATATCTAAACATAGGGCGTGTAACTAGGGACATTTACACTTAGTTTACAAACACAAAGAAATGACTTACGAGCACTGGTGTGAGTGGTGCGGTGATGGAGCCGATGCGGCCCACCATGGAGGAGAAGGCGAGCAGCCGGTGCCGGTACTGCGTGGGATACAGCTCCGAGGTGAACAGGTACAGCGATGTGAACACCACCGAGATACCGAACTTGCCCAAAAGGTACACGATCAGACGCAGTGTCGACAGGTCTGTCAACAAATATTACGTGTTACTCAACTGTTACAACAGCTGTCACTGAATATACATATACCAGCGTCACGGTCACTATCAATTAAGTGATGGCTCTAAAGATCTCAAACTTGATTCAACAATATTTAAAGTAAAACTTTATCCCTTAAATTAAATAATCGTATGCATGATAATTGAATATTTATCCAATACAATCACCATATCATAATTATATTATCATGTCCTTAATCATGGATTAAAAACTTTACCCATTAAACTGAAAGTAGTTTTGGTAAATATGATTGAATCAAACGCACCTCAACGCGTGCGCATGTTTAAAAGAATCAGGGATAGTATTTACAATCATAATAGTCATGCGTTTCTCAAAAATGTGACATTAGTGATTCAAATTACCAGTAAATAATAATAAATACATAATTAAAATAATAAAATCGGTAGAAAGAGATTATGATAACACTGTTCGGCCACAGATCGCAGATAGCCGTATGATAGCGGCCAATTGACGCACGCCACGGACCTTGCAGATTACAAAGTAACGCGGTTCTGTTCATGTTTTGTCAACATAAAACAGGCACGACTACTACCACGAGGAACAAACATATAGATCACATCAGCAACTGTAGAGCGGCAGACTGACAGGAATACACGTACAAATAATATATAACATACCATTGGGTATAAAAGCGAAGGCGATGTTGCAGGCGGCGCTGAACAAGTACCCGCCAGAAAGCGTGGGCTTCCTGCCGATCCTGTCGAGGATGAGCACAGCCGTGTAGAAGCCAGGGATCTCGATGACACAAGTCAGGATGTAGTTCAAGTACATGGAGTCCGACAGGCTGGTGGCGTTAATGGATAGGCCATAGTACACGAAAGTGGTGGTGATCCACCAGATGGGAGTGGTGCAGACACGTCGGAGCAGTACACTCGACCGGAAAATGGCTTGGAAGAGGTTTGGCTCATTCCCGTCCTCTACCACCTGTAACATCAATGACACAGTTGTCAGATTTGATTACAACGATTCACATTCAATAAAAAATGTACAAAAACAAAGAATTATTGTTGTGATAACTAACCTTCACAGGCTCGGAAGGGTTCATCAACGCATGCAAAGACTTCTCACTGATCTGTTTTCGGTTCCGTTTCGCGACTCGCTGCAGTACATCTTTAGCTTGATCATACTTCTTTTGAGACAGCAGCCATCTCACACTCTCTTGTAAAATCCAGTAGTATGCGATGATAATGAAACAAGGAATGTGTAGCGCAAGGATCATGTATCTCCAAGGCTGGACAACCCAAGCTACGGATCCCAGTATCACTTGACCAACGGCGAACATAGAAGAACAGGTTGCACTTGTCAACACTCGGTATTTGGGTCCAACGAACTCCGTAGCTATAATAACGAAGTAAATAAAATGAGTCATTATTGCAATCTTTGATAGGTATTCAAATAAATATTCAAAGATCAACAGTTCTTACCAAAGATATAAGAAGAGCTGAAAGTTCCGGCACCAAAAGTAGTTTGTAACAATTGGAAGGCCAGGTACATGGGGTAGTTGACGGAGAAGGCTCTAATGATACCAAAGATAGCCAAATTGACGACACTGATCACAAGCGCCACACGCCTTCCAAACGTATCGGAGATGTAACCGGCGATGGGCAGCACCAATAAAGTACCCACGCTACTCAAGGTACCAGCTAAAGCGCGGAGCCAATCTTGACAACCCAAATCGAACTGTAAAAATGATTATGAATAGGGTGAGAATAATGAAAATTCACTTTCAAAACCATATAAATACAACAGCAAGTAATACTAACGTCATAAACACAGGAATTATCTCTAGCGTAGACGTAGCTGTCACAACTCTGTTGGTTCTCTGAAAATAGATAGGCGGGACAGTAGTCCAAGGAACCGTTGCTGTAAATAGGTGTGTACCGCGCGCAGCTCACAAAACCGTTGTTGTTATCAGCCACAGGAATTGCATCACGAACCCAGTCATTATCGAATTGCTCAAGTTTACTCGTTTCTCCACATTCTGGCACTCGGCATCTGAAGAAAGCTTAATGTCAATAGCGAAATACGACTCACACTCTCGACGTGGCTTGACACTAGTTGAGTTACCTTGTTAAGCTGTTACTGTAGTAAGCAGTAAAACATAATTAGTTTAATACAAAACGTGTTTTGCTAACTAATGACTGATCTTGTCTTTACATTTTTAAGATCATTTTATCCAAATCATATTAAGAATAATAAAAAAAATTGAAAATACCTGTGCGGGATAGCGGCAGCAGAGAAGATGTACTCGCTCATAAAGGCTGACATGATGATGGGGACGGACACGAGCAGCAAGTTGAACATCTGGTAGCGGCCGAACTGGCCTATCTCGTTCACTAGCACATAGTCCAGGTCTATTGGCTTGTCGAACACGCTGTCCTTGCGTTTTTCAAAGTGACTGCTGGGTTCGGCGTCCACATTTTCAGGCGCTGGGCCATCGGCCTTACTATTTTTTCTTTCTTCGTCCATGACAATTTATTTATTATAATTGTGTCCAGTCAATAGGAGCACGTGGCGTCTCGAGCCATGTGCCCTAGTGAAGTGAGGCGAAGCTCATTGTAGCAAAAGAAGAGGAAAATTTATCAGATAATTAATTGTTAAGGATTATCATGATGTATTAATTTAACGATAAGCAATTTGAATTTGAATGTTTGTCGTGGATACAAGCGACGACGGCCCGTGCGAGACCTGGCATTGTGTCGGAGGCACGAGGCACGCGCCGGCGCAGTCAGTCTGCCCTGTCAGCCAACATCTGAGGTACCGGCCGAAAATATACGTTATTCATTTATATGTACCGACAGCAAATTGTATTGCAGTCGGTCATTAACTAGTTTATTGATATTACGAAACGTTACAGAAAATACTTTTTGAACTTGTAGTTATTCTGTTAGTAATTAGTTAAGTAACGCTTACAAAATACAAATATAATCTGTTTTGTTTTTCTAAACCAATTGTTTAGTTATCTACTACGAGGTATATATTTTTCAATTTAAAATAAATATTGTTTGTTTACAAATCTGTCGCTATGATTTATGGCGTTTTAAATATTATTATTATTACTATTTCTACATTGGAAAGGGTACTTGGTCTTTCTTTTTATAGGAATTGGGTTGAAGTCTTTAAACTGCTATTATATTTCAAATAAGACAATAATATAAGAGATAATAATAGAAACTTTATTTCCGAATATTTGTCATTTCGCACATTTAAAACTAATGACATTAACATATAATAAAATGTACTTTAAATTACAAAAGCTCTCTCACTTCAGTGCGCCTCACACACGCCAAAGGCATTCACCAATTTCTTCTACCTTTCTATCTGCCACAATTTTCAGTCATTTTCAGGGCATCCTTCCATCCCATTCCATCTTACGACCTCAACTCTTAGTGCCATTCTTTAGATTCCATATTGGTACTAGTTTGATCCATTCTTCTTTTTTACTCCTATACATAATGCAGTCTACCTCCGTTTCAGTTGACCGATGAGCTTAGATTATTTTTATTTTATGTCTTATGTTTGTATTTTAAATCTACATAATGTAGTATACTCCTTTCCATACTTCTCTAACATTTTGCAAGTTTATTCCTATGCCGTTTTGTCAAAGTCAAGGGTTCACAGCCATAATTATGTAACTAATGCGGGGCAAAATATTGTTATCAAAGCTCGTCTTCATAATTTTAATGCCAATTTCCTCGATTTTCGTAATGTCTTTCAAAGCCCAGCGTTTTCATCATTCTTTCTTATATTTCTTTGATATAATCTGGACTTTTGATGATACTTATAGTATCTAACCAACATTTATTTATTTACATAAACACATTCCTCTACATATGAAGCTGGGCAACCGGCTGTCGTGGAACGTGTCGCGGGTTCGATTCCCGCACGGAATAACGCTTTGTGTCATCCACAGATTATTGTTCCGGGTCCTTGTGTCATGTGTATGTGAAATTGTATGTTTGCAAACGCACCTACAGGAGAAAATCCTAGTGGCGGAAAAGTTAAAAAAATATACCTATACTCCGTCTGTTTAGGTAGTTAACTATTTGTAAACAAACCATAAAAAGAGTTCTTTATAGTTGACATTTCCATGATTCAAAATACTTCATAAGAAAATAAAATTGTTTCCCTTTTTACGACAGTTTTCTCTATTAAATGTTATGTTTCTGTTCCTTTTCACTTATTTCTTAATAAATATTAAATATATCTGCTTGAGGATATTAATTTAATAACATTTATTAAATAATATAATATTTCATTACAATAGACACCATAAAGAGCCTAAAATCCCAGGTATCCAAAACGTTTCTATAAGAACGAAGCAAAATAATGTTGTCAAATTAAAGAGTACAACGAAGATGTAGCGCGACAATGAAAGTAGCGTGTATTACGTTTAGTCGGTTAATCAGGCGCCATTGACAGCTCTCTCGTCGTTTGCGCTCGCGTTCCTATTTTGTTGAATTTAACTTGTTTCTTTGTTTTGTTTTTGTTATTAAGTTATTTAAGTTTAGGTTAATCATCGTTTGTAATTAATGTGTTCAAATATATTGAAGAAACTTGGCCCAAAGACAGATATCCGTACAAGAAAGAAATCCGTACATCAGATTCAGAATAGTTTCTATTTAAACATGATAATGAAATAGACCCATAGGCTAGGCTCTTGTACGATTTAGGCATTTGTACTTGTATGTGTGTGTATGACAAATGAACGATTTTAAAGTGAATTTAGTTAAAATTAAAACGCGAGAAATATTTGAAGTAATAGTAGGTTAAGTATCTCTGTGTCACGTGGTTTGCTTTGTTTACCTTTAGTTAATTACCTAAACAGATGGACTATAGTTATTCAAGTTTTTATCATTTGGCAGTTATGTCTACGGGAACTGAATTTGTCACCATCTTAACTTTACTGGAGTTCGCCTTCTTCTATATTTTTTGGGTTTTTGTCATGGGTTCCAGTGGTTTTGGATTTTTGTCGAGCAAGATTCGGCCACCTACAAATCTATGATGATTTTTCTGTGATCCATATATGCTTAGTTTTTACAATATGGCAATACTTTCGTCAAATTGACATGAAGCAATGCAGTCGTAACGTTACTCTTACATCTAGTATTGAGGTACATTGAGTTTGTTTTCAGGTGTTTATTTTAGATTCTTGCTTGCCGAGGGCCTCTGCTTCCGCGAGGGTGTCAGGCATCTTGGTGCCCAGCGTCTCCGGCTGCGTCAGCACCAGTATACCAGAGAGTATAGCCATGCCACCGAACATTACGGACGGTATACCTTCCCAGTAATCCATCTGTTGAAGAGAATATCCCGATTAGCTGATTTATATGTCGTAGCTACAGCCACCTCACTTAGTAGAAGTATGCGATAATACCCATGCATGGCAGACGTCATGGAAATTGCAATCATGCTGCCATCCATCGGTGGCAGTTTAGACATATTCGATTCAAACTGACTAAACACATGAAGTGTATCCACGGGTATACTTAGTTTACAAACACAAAGAAATGACTTACGAGTACTGGTGTGAGCGGTGCGGTGATGGAGCCGATGCGGCCCACCATGGAGGAAAAAGCGAGCAGCTGGTGCCGGTACTGCGTGGGATACAGCTCCGAGGTGAACAGGTACAGCGATGTGAATACCATTGATATACCGAACTTACCCATCAGGTATACAATAAGACGGAGTGTCGATAGGTCTGCCAACAAATGTTACATGTTATCCTTGTGTTGCTCAGAGCATCATCATATACTAACATTGTGGTCACTAGCTTAACAAGTAATAAATCACTTGTTGGGCTAGTCACCACAATCCCGGCTACACTACAGTGGAACCGCAAGTTCTCAACTCGTAAGATCGGGTCCTAAAACTTTATTATGTCCCCGTCAAACGTAGCTTTTTGTAGAAGTAATTAAATAATTAGTGCTTACCTTTTCACGTGATCATACTTAATCAAAAATAATAAGGAATAATATTTACAATCGTAATGCGTGTATAATCTCAAAAATGTGAGATTACCAATTCAAAGAACCAGTAAATGATACATAAAATAATATCTAACAACACAGATTACGATAACTGCTGGCCATAGATCACAGACAGCCGTAGATATGTATAATAGAGGCCAACTATCGCTAGCCATGGACTCTTATAAATCATAAACTAAAATATATAGCATACGTATCACGATAACTACTGCAGAGTGACAGACCGACAGGAATACACACACAAACAATATCAAACGTACCATTGGGTATAAAAGCGAAGGCGATGTTGCAGGCGGCGCTGAACAAGTACCCGCCAGACAGAGTGAGCTTCCTGCCGATTCTGTCGAGAATGAGCACAGCCGTGTAGAAGCCAGGGATCTCAATGGCGCAAGTCAGGATGTAGTTCAAGTACATGGAGTCTGACAGGCTGGTGGCGTTAATGGATAGGCCGTAGTACACGAAGGTGGTGGTGATCCACCAGATGGGAGTGGTGCAGACACGTCGGAGCAGTACACTCGACCGGAAAATGGCTTGGAAGAGGTTTGGCTCATTCCCGTCCTCTACCACCTGTAACATCAATGAGACAGTTATCAGATTTGATTGCAATGGTTCACATTCGATCAAAAATGTACAAAAACAAAGAATTATTGTTGTGATAACTAACCTTCACAGGCTCGGGAGGGTTCATCAACGCATGCAAAGACTTCTCACTGATCTGTTTTCGGTTCCGTTTGGCGACTCGCTGCAGTACATCTTTCGCTTGATCATACTTCTTTTGAGACAGCAGCCATCTCACACTCTCTTGTAAAATCCAGTAGTATGCGATGATAATGAAGCAAGGGATATGTAGCGCAAGGATCATGTATCTCCAAGGCTGGACAACCCAGGCTACCGATCCCAGTATCACTTGACCGACGGCGAACATGGAAGTACAGGTTGCACTTGTCAACACTCGGTACTTGGGCCCGACGAACTCCGTAGCTGTAATAACGAAGTAAATGACATGAGTCATTAATGCAATATTTGAAAGGTAATCAACATAATACCAACAGTTCTTACCAAAAATATAAGATGAGCTGAAAGTTCCGGCACCAAAAGTAGTTTGTAACAACTGGAAGGCCAGGTACATGGGGTAGTTGACGGAGAAGGCTCTAATGATGCCAAAAATACCCAAATTGACGACACTGATCACAAGCGCCACACGCCTTCCAAACGTATCGGAGATGTAACCGGCGATGGGCAGCACCAGTAGAGTACCCACGCTGTTCAGGGTACCAGCTAAAGCACGAAGCCAGTCTTGACAACCCAAATCAAACTGTAATAATGATTATGAATAGAGTGAAAATAGTAAAGACTCACGCGGAAAACGAGATAAACACAACAGCAAGTAATACTAACGTCATAAACACAGGAATTGTCTCTAGCATAGACGTAGCTGTCACAACTCTGTTGGTTCTGTGAAAATAGATAGGCGGGGCAGTA